TATTAATCTTTTTTATTAAATTAATCACTTATTTATTAAATTATCATTTTATTTATTTATTTATTTAATCGTCTTTTGTTTATTTTATTTTTTATTTATTAACTATTTTTTTTTAATTAAAGATTAATCAAAATGCCAGAAGTCTCTTACTTTAACAAATGAAATACAATCTCTGCAGCAATTAATAAGTTAAACAGTTATCCTGTTGGCACCAAACGCCCAAGTGTAAATCATGCAGCGAGAAACTTTGGGCTTTCCGAAGCTACTCTTCGATGTGCAATCAAGAAAGGTGGCCCTCCAAATCATCAAGGTCCACCTACAATTCTTACAGAACATGAGGAAAACCAACTTGTTGGATATTGCATGAACATGCAACAGCTTGGATTTGGTTTAACTAAGTCTGAAGTAAACCATTGCGTGATGGAAATAATTCACTACAATAAATGACCTAGTTATCTATAAAGTAAGTATGGTAAAAAAAAAAAAAAACAGTTTAAAACTTGTGATGATTAAAGTCCGAATACTCTATTTTTAAAAAAAATTTACCATCTCTACTATAAGGGTGTTTACACAATTCCCGGTTTGCTACAAGGTGCACCTCCTGGAGTAGTAATGGGTTTTACAGATACTGGATATATGCGTGAGGACCTTTTTCAAATGTACCTTAGCTATTTCACTAATTCGATCCCTCCAATTCGACTGGTTTTACTAATGCTTGATGGTCATAAGAGCCATATCAGCTATATGTGCATCGATTTTTGTCGCCAAAATGGAATACTTCTTTATGCACTTCCACCACACATGACTCATATTTTACAACCATCCGAAATTCCTTTTGCAAAATTGAAAAAGGAATTTGGGAAACAATGTAATAAATATCACAATACTACTAGCAAAGTAGTAACAAAATACATCTTCGCAAAACTTTTTGGACCAGCTTTCATTGAGACTTATGCACCATCTGCTATTTGTAATGCTTTTAAAGCTACAGGAATATGGCCATTTAACCCCAAGGCCATTAGTCCCGATCATTTAAACCTCTCACTAGCAACAGAACGATTCGATATTGTACCTTCTCCTAGCCAGCTTTTAAAACCGGTTACATCTTTTCTACAATCAACTACTAAACTAAATCATTCTCATTATACTCACATAAATTTTACCCAGTTAATGTCAGAAAATAAGATGCTTAAAAATGAAATTGAATTACTAAAAGTTCAACTTACAGTAACCCAAGAGGAATTAGGAACCTATAAAAGTCCCAGAACAAGTTCTTTATGTTCGGTTTTCAAGTACATCCCTCATGTTCTGCAAGCTGGACCTTCGGATACTTCCTTAGTGAACCAACAAGAGCCTGGTCTCTTCTCTAAAAAAAGAAAGACACTTCCATTTGCACAACTTCTTACTAACGACGAAAGTTGGCGGAAGTTGAAAGAGACAAATAAAGAAGCAGAAAGGAAAGTTGAAGAGGCGAAATGGAAAAAAGTATTGGCAGCCCAGAAAAAATCGAACGACAGCAAAAATTAGAACAAAAAAAGGAAGAGCGTGAGCAAAAAAAATGAGAAAAAGAAGTGCATAAAGGTAAAATGCAGTAAAAATAGACTTATCATTAAAAAGTTTATTGTTAGTTAGGTTAAATACATATCATTCAATAAAGCATTAAACTAAAAAAAAATATTTAAAAATGCGATTTCCAATTTCAGAGATCCATTAAGCAGATCAAGTTTGATTGCCTAATATAATGTAAAACAAGTTGATTATTTTAATTATTAACTACTTGAGCAAAACTTTAAGTCAAAAAACTAATGATATTTACTACATAGTCATATCATTCTACATAAAAATTAAAAATTTAATATACTAGCTTTGCATTATTGACAGAATCGCTCCTAAGACAGGTTGGTGAATATTAAAGTTAAGTTTTTAAAGTACAATGTTTTTTAAAGTACAATTAGACAAAATTTTAAACCATATTATAAAAAAGACAATTCAAATTAAAAGTTCTATTATAAACAATATAAAAAAAAAATCAGGTAACAGTTTTTTTTAATGCCAATACATTCATATAATGATCTACGTGCTGCATAAATTGTATTCTTGATACTTATATAACCTGTTAACCATAACTGAATCAAAAAAGTAACCCTAACTGGTACCTGGCCCTAATTCATCACAATACCCTCCACTCTTCCAAAATTTAATTTTTTGTATCCTATGTATGAATCGATTATTATACTCCAAACTGGTACTGTACTTTAATAATTTATACTAAATATATTTTAAAATAAGTGTCATGTATATTCAAAAAAAAAAATTAGTTAATATATAATAAAGTATAAAATTTTACTAATAATAACTTTAACTTCGTCACAATACCCTTATTTACCTTATATTATATATTTATAATTATCTTTATCATCTTTTTCTTTTTTTAATTTTTTTTTATATTTAAAATTTTATTTTTATTTCTTTAAATAATATTTCTAATACATATTTTATAATTTTTAAACTTTTTTAAATGTTTTAAAACTTTTCAAAATACTTCACAAATAATAAAATACCAAAAATCACTAAGAAACAATTGAAATCCAAACAAGTTTTTGCCCAATTGATTGCAGGTTCATCTTCACAAACAACTGAAGGAGTATCTGCAGAAAGAAGAGATGTTTTGACATCTGTTAGAAGTGCAGCTGAAACTACTGAGAATATTAAAGCATCTGGTTCTGCTAGAAGGTTGGCTAGAAGTGTTAAAAGAATTGCACATCCTCCTGAAGGTTTTAAAATTTCTGTGAATATAACTTATATATTAAATTTCTATTAATAACTTCAATGTATTTATTTATTCTTTTATATAATTCAGAAAATCTTCTTTCAAAAATTTTCGATATGCTTACAGAATTAACTGAAAAATTTGATAGAATTGAAAGACATCTAAATAAATTAGATGATAAAATTAATGAATCTTATAATTTGTTACAAGAAACTGATTTTATCAAAGT